GCCCCGGTTAGTTTTCCCGCGTCTGTGCTTCTTCTAATTGTGTCACAGAAATATGTTACCGCTGTCTGCGTCGAATGGTAACGTCTAAACCCCGATTGAAACGAATTTAATAGGCCATGTTGATTTAAGTACTGTTGGAGTTGAACATTTACGGCTTTTTCAGCAATTTTTGAAATTACTGGTAGGATCGAGATGGGCCGGTAATTGTCCATAACTTCCCGTCCACCTGATTTGTGCAGAGGAACAACTCTTGCCTGCTTCCACTCATCTGGTACAATGCCTGTGGACAAAGAGAGATTTACAAGGAAAGTGATTGACTGGGTGATAACAGCAGCACTGTCTTTCAGCAAGCACGCAGGGATTCTATCCAAGCCCGTAGCTTTCTTCACCTTTAAGCCTTTCAATTGTTTAAATACAAAACTCTCCGTTACTGGTAGTAGACACAATTTCTGATCCGTAAAGTTGTCACCGGAAAACTCACGAGTAACTATGGGCTGTTGAACGGTTTCCAAAAGCTTAGAGACGGCGTTTGTAAAGAAGTTATTAAACTTCTCGGCAATAGTTGACTTATCAGTAATTGTATGTCCCTCCTCGGTCTTGATAGATTCTGGACACGCTGAGTTGCCTTTCTTGTTTTCGCGTCTGTGTGACAACTTTAGTTTTCCGTCTGTGTGACAAGTCTGTGTGACAAATTTAGTTTTCGCGTCTGTGTGACAAGTTTAGTTTTCTGTCTGTGTTACAAGTTTGGGTTTCGCGTCTGTGTGACAACTTTAGTTTTCCGTCTTGGTGACAAGTTTAGTTTTCGCGTCTGTGTGACCAATTTAGTTCCCGCGTCTGTGTGTCAACTTTGGTTTTCCGTCCGTGCCACAAGTCTGTGTGACAAGTTTAGTTTTTCCCGTCTGTGCCTCAAATTTAGTTTTACCGTCAGTGTGACAAGTTTAGTTTTCGCGTCTTTGTACAAATTTTGTTCTCTCCTCTGTGTTACAAACTTAGTTTTTTCATCTGTGTATCAGATTTAGTTTTCTCGTCTGTGTGACGAATTTAGTTTTCTCGTCTGTGTGACAAATTAAGTTTTCTCGTCTGTGTGACAAGTTTAGCTTTCTCGTTCGGGTTACAAGTTTAGTTTTCGCGCCTGTCTGACAGATTTTAGTTTTCGCGCCTGTGTGCAAATTTAGTTTTCTCGTCTGTGTTCTAAATTTGGTTTTCTCGTTTGTGTGAAGAATTTAGTTTTCGCGTCTGTTACAGGTTTAATCTTCGCGTCTGTGTGACAAGTTTAGTTTTCTTTTCCGTGTTATTAATTTAATTTTCGCGTCTTTGTGACAAGATTGGTGTTTACGCCTGTGTGACAAATTTATTCTTTTCGTCTGTGTGACAAACTTAGTTTTCTCGCCTGAGGGTAAGGGTTGGCTTTCGCGTCTGTGTGTCGTCATTTGGTTTTCGCTTCTGCGTGGCAAGCTTGTTTTTCGCGTTTGTGCGACGCGTTTAGTTTTTTGCGTCCCTGTTACAAGTTTAGTTTTTTTGCATCTGTGTGACGGCCTTGGTTTTCTCGTCTCTGTTACAAGTTTATCTTCGAGTTTCCGTTACGAGTTTAGTTTTTGCGTCTGTGTGACAAGTTTGGTCTTCGCGTCTATGTGACAAGATTTTTCACCTGCGTGTGGAGTTTTCACTATTTTCTCATTTTTTCTTTATCCCTTCGTAGGGTTATGAGAACCTTCGCCAAACAGTAGAGTCTTTGCAATCGGCCCTTAACGTTTCCAAAGTAAATCAGTCCTTGGAATCAGTTAGACTCCTTGCCTCTCGTCCTGCCGCGTTTCTCGATCCTTTCGCCCTCCTTGCGGCCTTGGAGCACCTGTCAGACCACGCTAGGGAGGCGAACCACCCTCAACGCAAGAAGTTTGATGCTATTTTTAAACAGTGTCGCCCCTTTGCAAACTCCAACTCACTTGTTGAAGTGGAACTGCAACTCCTCGGGGATAAGGAAGAAAGCGATGTGGCTCCCCAGATCCGAAAGATTTTTAAAGGTCACTCCTCTCCTAGAAGTTCAGCTCCAGGACAGGCCTTTGATTTTTGGGGAGACAATTCCGTCGCCCCGCGTCCAGGCCCCTATCCTGGAGGTTCATTTGGTCGCGGTGGACGTTTCAGGCCACAGTACTACCGGCCGGGAACCTTTCCTCGACGCTGTTTTAATTGCAGAAGAGTTGGTCATTTTGCTAGGAATTGCCCATTAGTCTCCAAAGCTGTTAAAAAGTGACGTTTCTTTGTTATATATTGGAGTTTCGGTGCCTTTGCTCGTTTGCCTTGTTAGTTATCTCGGTGTTCTTCTGTAATGAAGTCCACGCCACAATAAAGTTTGCTTTGTCAATTACTTTGTGTTTGTTTCGCTTGTCTTATTCTTTCTAAGCTAACCGCTGGTATACCTTCGAAGGGGTATTCTTACAACCTTAATTGCTCTGTCCCTGGACGGGGTATTTCGGGGCTGCTTCGCGGTTGGCTTTTCCTCTTTTCCATATCATGTTTCATTGGCGCTTTTTTCGTTGTCCTCTTTGTTTTAGGCGCCCCCGTGCAAGAAACGTCGTTATGATTTTCGCTCGGACGAAGACTCCTCAAATTTTGTTCAGTGGTGCAATTGGAAAGGGGAAAGCCTCGCGTTGCAGGCCTGAACCCCTCGCCCTACATGGTTTCCAAGGGAATTGCTCATGCCACTCCTCAAGATGTTATTTTCCGAGAACCCAGTAGCTTTGTGGCTGGGGAACTGAGTCTTACTGGAGGTTCATTCTGTCAGAACACCCAAAGACAGATGAGGTTTTATCCTGCATCGTCCGCGGGGTCAACATTTCCGATTTTTTCATCCCCTTCAAAGGTGACTTCCAGGGGAAATTTTATAATTCTGCTACTCCCCCAGCGGCGTTTTTTCCTAATAGCAAATCGTGTCTTGATTTCGAGGAATTTATTAGTTTCTCTCTCCTTGACCGAGTTAAAAACGGCTCACTCCTGGTTTGGGGAAAAGTTGGCTCTGTTCAGCCACCCCATTTGGTTTTGCCCATTACGGTGGAGCCCATTAAGCCTAGATTGTGCCACGATGAGAGTTTTTTGAACTTATGGATTGACGATCTTACGCTTTCGTTGGATTACATTTCTGGCTTACCTCGCTATGTGTTTAAGTCTCATTTCCAAACTACTTTTGACGATAAAAGTGGCTATGACCACGTCAAGTTGTCGGCTGACAGTTTCACCTTTGTCGGTTTAGAGTGGAAAGGCTGGTATTTTTGTTATAAGATCTTAACCTTTGGTTGGAAGGCCAGCGCCTACGTCTATCATACTGTCTGCTTGGCGGCAACATGTCATATCCGCTCTCTTGGTGTCCCCTGCAGTCAATATATTGACGACCGCCATGTCGGCCAACTCGCTTTACGCCGAGATCTTCAAGATTCTCTCAGGTGGTCCAATTTTCAGCTTGCCGAGGCTGCTGCTTTTATTGTGTGTTCAGTTTTGGTTCGCCTTGAATACTTCATTGGCCTCTCCAAATCCGTTCCTGTTCCCCAGGCTAGAATCAGGTTTTTGGGTTTTCTGTCTGATTCCATCCTTTAAGCTTTCCTTATTCCACAATATAAGAGAATCAAGTTTGCCACCCTTCGTGACTCCATTCTCCAGTGCCGCACAGTGTCTATCAAGACACTTCAGCAATTCGCAGGCAAGGTTACCTCTTTCTTTTTAGCTGTCCCGGCTGCTCAGTTATTCGCAAGAGAAGTTTACCGCGCTATTTCTCTGGCAAATCGTTCCTCGCGGCCCATCAAAGTTGTTGGTGACCTTCGTTCTGAGATAGCTAATTGGCGGTTTTTAGATTCTTGGTCCGAGCATCTCCCCTGGATGGATGAGCGTCATTTAGTAGTGAATGTAACCAGCGACGCATCCCAGTACGCGTGGGGTGGCATAGTTCACAATCCCTCCGGAACACCTTTGGAGACTCGAGATATTTGGAGAGAAGACCTCAGAGACAAACCTATTGCAGTAAAGGAAGCCCTCGCACTCGTCAGCATTTTAAAAGCTGGAAAGTCGGTTCTTTCAAATTGTCACGGGGACGCTCACGTGGACTGCCTAGCGCTTATCCAAGCCTGGGAGAGACGGGCGGCAAGAGTAAACAGCTGAACGATGCCCTCAAGGAATTGTTCCAAACTCTTCTCGCCCAGAATATTTCCCTCTGTTTGCAGTTCGTGCCCTCTCCTGTCAACCAGGCTGATGCTCTCTCTCGCGTTTTGTCTGATAAGGATTGCGTGCTTGCCCCCGAGCCGTGGAAGGAGTTAGAAAACCTCTTTGGCCCACACATCTTCGACTTGATGGCGCTTGACTCCAATGCTCAAATTGGGTGTTCTGGTTCACCGCTTCCTCACTTTACGCCTTTTCAAACACCGGGTTCTCGCGGGGTTAATGTTTTTGCTCAAGATCTGGCCAGCCAAGAAAACGCATATGTTTTTCCGCCATTCATCTTAGTTGGTCCTCTTCTCCGTTTTCTTGACAAGGCCTTGTTCTCGTTCACCATTGTGGTTCCAAAACTGTCTCCTCTACCATATTGGTGGCCTCTTATTCAAGCAAGGGCATCTCATTTTGTCGTCCTGGGCCATAAAGCTGATCACGATATCGTGTTATTTCCATCTCCGCACCACGTTTTTTCCACACGTCCTTTACCTTGGGATTTGTATGCTTTCAGGATTACCATCTCGCTTCCGTCTGTCCTTTCTTTAGATTCAGCGACCTAGAATCTGGAAGCCAGCAGCTCCTTGCCTGGATTGTGGCTACCTTAATGATGCCGATTTCAACTTTTGCCAGAGGTGCGGTTTCCGCCAGTTTTGTTCAGATTCCCAACATCCTTCTAAGCGGTTAAAGATCGACTTTCAACTAATCGATGATCGTCAGAAGTCTTCTATTTACAAGGAACTTATAAATTTTCTTTCTTCTCTCCCGGTTCCAAAGGCTCTTCCTTCCGCTTCTCCATCCGACATTTAGAAGTTTCTGGTGTGGAAGGATAACTCAGGGAAGACCGTTGTTCACCTTTTGGATTGTCCAGGCCTGGGCCAACGCCAGCGCGTCTCCTGTTCATGTCCAACCAGGTTAGCTGCTGGAACTGTGGACAGCCTAATTGGGAAACTCAGGTCCATTTTTCTTGAGGAGGGTTTGGGAGGGGAATGGGACGACCGATTAGGTATTGGAAATCCCGTCTCTCATCCCTCTATTAAAGCTTATTTGAAGTGTGACGAGAAGAGCAAGCCCAGGCTCGAGTACAGCCTCGTAAGGCCGTTCCCCTTTTTACAAATAAATTTTTGGCTATAGCGCGTTCCATCCTGTCTAAACTTAGAAAGCCCTACACTTCGCCTTCGCTTTTATATATCCTCAGTAGGGATCTTAGTTTCTTTTGCATTGAGCTTTTCTCTGGCAACCGTTCATCGGACTTAGGAAGAACTAAGTCTAAAGAAGTGCTCCTTTTTCCCGACTCCTCCGGGTTACTCTTTAACCATACTTTTGGTAAGACATTAAGGGGAAATTCTACACACTCTTTTTCTGTAAGGAGTTCTAGTAATTCTGATATTTGTCCAGTTCGTAATTTTATGTTGTATCTAAATATATGACGTTTGATAAGTGTAGATATTTCTCAAGGCTATTTATTCCGCGCTACCAGTAAAGCTGGCCACATTTCTGATAAACCTTTCATTGGTTCTTCAGTTTATAATCGTTTTAAACAGTATCTTAAGGATGCTGGCTTAGACGGCGGCGAAACTCCCCACAGCCTTCGCGCCGGATGTTCTATTACTTTGGAACTGTTGGGAGTTTCTAAGTCTGATATTGCCAAGCACATAGGTTGGCGCTCCACTAGCATGGTAGATCATTATAATGACTTAGAGCAGATTGTAAAACCCGGTCACACAGCTGAAGTTCTGTCGTCTACCGCTTCATCCCAAGCTTCTTCCTCCGCTACTCAGGATGCTATTTCCTCTTACCAGGATGTAAATGAACTGAAGAATTTCAGTCCGTTTTTTTCAATAGTTTGTATTCGTTTTGCCTTTCACTGTTTTCTTCCTTCATATCTTGAAGGTTGTAAAGTTTGCAATAAAGCTTTTTGAGTTATGGGGAGAGTTACGGTCATCTGTGTATTTTGTTGGGACCTTACCGCCCTCCTAGCTTTCGGGAGTAGTAGCCGTAGGGCTCGCTTCTTCCCATATCTTATCCTTGCCTGGGACGTTTGAGAGTGAGGGCTCCCAGTGGGAATTTATTACTATCCTCACTGGGGCCATCTCGTACAAACGCCCCAAATCTCTTCGGGATTCAAGGATAAAAATTCCCGTGCGCTCGTATTCTCTTGCGTGTCCTGTTTCACACAGGTTTTGTATAAACAGGCCTGTTTTGGCCTGTTTAATGCTCTTTTCGTTAAACGTTCGCAGGTCGTTAGCTTGGCGTCCCTCACTCCTCCCCGCAGCGATGACCATTGTTGCCATCCTAGCTAGCTCCCGCTCCTTTTCGTCTCCGGGCTCGCTTCTTCCCATATCTTATCCTTGCCTGGAGCGTTTGGGAGTGAGGGCTCCCAGTGGGAATTTATTACTATTTACAATTGGTTTATGCACGTTTGTAAGATTTTAGACAATGATCTGACCGAGTATCAGGTTTGATTATAAGCTTATATAACTTAAAAAAGCCTTTAGACATTTTCTCACCGCAAATAGAAACAAAACATTCCAAAGAATATTTAGTTATCGTTCTGGCTGTAAAAGAAAGCTTTGAGCGATTTTCTTGCCTCGAGTTCATCTTTGAAAAAAGCAAACACCGGGAAGCCGGCTTAAAACATAAACAAAGATTTTCCGAAACGCTTAAATACTTGTCATCGTGAATGAAAATTGTTGTCTCTGAATATGTTTCACCGAATTATTTTCCTTTTATTGATTGTTAGTAGTCTCTTTTGCAATTTTAATCGCTGTGCCGTTTGTTCAGTCGCTCATGAACACCGCTTGCAGGAGTAGTCAAACTGCCGCGCGTATCAAACGCTTTTGAAGATTACAAATCGTTATAAAACCGTTAAATAATAAATAAACATAATAAATTCTTTATTATGTTGAAGCGTATAACTCTATTAATCTTAATTTAAACAGTCGACTTTGGCGCTTGTCAAAAGTGAGAACCGGCTAGCCGTATAGGTGATTTTGGAAATTTTTTTAAAGGTTTCGCTAAAAGCCCACGCGTGCTTCGGTCGTCCCTAATATTGAATAAGTACAATTTGTATTGCAAAATTGTGAAATACTGCATTCTGTCCGAGGTCTGTATGATAAAAACAGCGGCTCATGGTACTGTTTCACCTCAGATGTGATGTATAAAAAGTATAAAAGGTTGGTTTACACGTCCCCAGACTTGTTGGCAAGATTTTGTAAAGTAAACTTGTCGAACGCAAAAAATTCGGCCTGATTTGTGTTCCAGGCCTAATCTACTGTGATCAAGAGCCATTATGGCTCTTAAATGTGATCGAAGATGATTGCTATTTTTTGGGTGTACATATAAGGCTATCAACTCGAAGTAAGATTAAGTTCGCTCTTAGATGGACTGTTTGCAAATTATGTTTTTCTATAATCACTTAGCCTTTCCCTCAAAAGTTACATGAATGTGCTCTAAAGTTAACTGATTTGTGGAAGTTTATTGTTATTTGATTTAAATTATAAATTCGAGTTAATAGGAGCTTCGCTTTTAGCCCTGGCTAAATTTATATATTATTGCTTATTTGGGGCTGAGTCTTATTCCGGTGAAACAGAGAGAAAGAGTGTCTGGCAAGGTTTCCAATCAAAGATTTTTGAACTCGTGTATGGCAAACTCTCCAAGAGTTTATAGTATGTATACACAGTTAAACGCACCTTATAACTTTATCTGCGTTTAACAAGTATCTTTTGGTCCAAAACTTTCAAAAAGACTTCTCCACAGAATGTCAACGATAACACGTAACGCAAAAGAGTATCGACGTATACCTGTACAAGAAATGTCACAAAATCTACCTAAGCGGCCCCTTAGGGTTTTTCTGTTTTTACGTCATCCTAACCTACTTGCGGGCGCGAACAATAGAAACGTCATCATTACCTACCGATTCCTCGCGGCCCCTGTTCAAGCAAATCGAGATTTTTTTCTCGCATACTGACTGTATATTTCAATTTTAAGTACTTTCCTTAGAGAGGTGGGGGGGGGGGGGGGGGGGAAAATTTTTAAAAAAATAAAAGGCACCCCCCCGAAGACGCGACTTTTTTTTTTTTCCTCTTGGTGGTGGATATAAGGGGGGGGCTAGTTAAAATTTTTTTTTTTTTGTTTTTTTTAATATTTTGTGTGTGAGAGAACGTCCGCTCTTCGCTCCCTCTCTCTCGCTCCGTCCCCCTCGTTTTCTCTTCTAAATAAAGGTTTTTTTTTTTTTCAGTTATTATATCTTTAGTTTTTTTTTGTATTTTTTTGTGGGGGGGGGGGGGGGGGGGGGGGGGGGGGCAATAATTTTAAACACGATAAGTCGAACTCCCGATGACTCGAACATTTTTCTATTTCCCTTGAAGGTTGGAATTAACGGGAGTCGACTGTATAACTTTTTTATTATGGACTTCTTAAACTTTCTTAGGTGAAAGACGAAAGGCTGGAAAACAACTGTTTGAGACTCTAATGAAAGCAATAAAATTGGGATGGAATCTGTACTCTCGCGGGATCTATTTCATTAAGGTTTTTTCGGAGCCGCAGCCGAGTTCCGGTTAGGTTTCGCGTTTCGGTCGATGTTAGATAGGATTTTCGTGACGTGTTGACACTAAATAACATCGACGTTCCGCGGAAAGACCATAAGCCGCGTCGTTCAATGCAATACGGCTGAGTCTATTACAGATTTAAGATTTTTTAAGAATATTTATTGGAAACGACAATACTGACCGTTTTATAACTCAAACTAACTCAAATACAACATCCTGACTGCGATCGATCATGTGAGCGGAAGTCGAGGGGATCATTTCACATTTTGTAAAGCGCCTCTGACATATCGATCTGGTTTAGGTCGACAAAAGGCATACAATGTTAATTTCGTTTTGCGCTCCAGCATGTACGATATGAAGGGCCTCTTATGGGAATTTTCCCTTTATCTTTCTGCGAAAATCCCATCAATCAACACTTGACCTTCAACCAGAAATACTGGCCTGACCCACGGAACTTAGATAATAACACATCACCAAATATTTCAATAAACCTTTTTTCGTTAGTTTTAACAACCATTGGTTATCAAGCGTCCCGTTGTTCCATTTTCCACTTTGAACTCGGATATATCGGTATAAATGTTGAAGTTAAAGCTTAAAAAGTTATAGAAATAGAGTGGCAATAGAAACAGGTTTTCCTTGTATCACTACTACTTACAGACGTAAAAAAGTGAAAGGGGTAGGGGGGGGGTGCGCTTTTTTGGAGAGGGGCGCCTCGCTTTGATATTTTGGCCTAGGGGCTGACTCCTTATTCTGGGGAGGGCGTTTATTGGAGCGTGGGCGCTTATTCTAGGAAATACGGTATTCGAACTTTCCCTGGTTAACATGTTTTTTTTATCTAAAAACCTTGTCTTCAATGGGAAAAAGTGATCATGACAAATGAAAACTTGAATTATTGTACGTGGAGTATACTGCAAGTCAGAAATAGATATAACGAGAAAGCGAGACAAGTACATAACGTGTCACTAATTCCTTAAAGAATGTGATATTGAGTCGGAAACAGACATACATTTTTGTCAGCGACAACAGTTGTTCCTTTTCTTAAAACCGAGCTTTCAACAACTTAACAGAATTGAATATATTACAACTAGAATAGTAAGATATGCTATAGAATTGCAATAGCTGTATGATTGCCTTAATCGCCAAACTGAGTGCGAATATTTGTAGCTTTATCATCTCTTTGTTGTCTGGCGGGATGAGAAGGTAATACGCTTAATGTTTGCCTTAAGCTCTGATATTCAAGACAATCTAATACTGGTGTAACAACAAGAAGCAAACAAATCATTTCCTAACTGAAGGAGTTTTCATGTCGTGCATGACTTTGCAAGGTGAAGCTGAACTTCTGCAAGAAAAAGTTCGACTTCGCACCGACTTTTCTTATAAAAACAAACCGAAGCAACGACCCTGTAGAAACAAAGGAACCAGTAACGTTATATCAAAGAACAGAATACCAACCTTAGACACGATGAAATAAAACTCTTCATGACCGTCAGATGGAAAGAGAAAACATTACTCCTCAGCTATCACTCTCGAGCTTGCATATGTTCCTCCGTAATACTCAATTCACTTGCAGAACCAAGCCAAGTG